CGGGGCATGGGCGCTAACACGGTCGAGTACGGTAGTTCCCGTTTGAAATATTGCATGACATCCCAGGTCATACCAATAATATAGACCAAGATGTGCGAGGTCTGTGGAAGTGCAATTGTTTAAACAAGATCCAATTATTTTCAATGTACGTTTCAAGATTTAAACAAAATCCATATATATATGATGTGGTTCCCGAATAGTGAAAATGTGATTTTGATCTACTTTGGCCTTAAAATGACTACTATTTGGTCATCTCTGATTGGATCATGAAATAAATACATGTATAAAAGTCCAATTTGATTTTTGATGTACGTGTAAAATTTGAACTTGATTAGTCCAAGCATGTGTGAGATATGGCTAGATATGCATGCAGTCAATCCATATGTCCGACTAAAAATATTCAGTCAGACCTAACATCACTGTATGCAGTATCAGTGGGTACTTGGAGAATAATTTATGTGTATAAGTTGGTGTAAGTTTCAGTTGCTGGGCAATATAAAATACAAAATCAAGCTGTTCAAAACAAAAGTTTTATTAGATAATATTTCATGTTGACAGCCAGGTATATTTTGGAATTTTTACTGCAGCAGTAGTCACCCCATAGAAAGAATTGGTCATAAACTAAGCTGTAACAAACTCATGACATGGTCAATTCTGATGCATTTGTTCCATCATCTTTATCAACTGATTTCCATATCCCCCTTCTTCATCTTCATCATCATCATCTTCTTCCTCCTCTTCCTCCATGTCCAAATCATTATGTTGTGGCACAAAACCAAGATCTAATGGAGTTTCATTCTCTACTTCCTGTTTAATATGGACGGTGATAGATAAAGAGAGAAAGTTATGCAGCAACTGCTGAAACATTGCTCTGAAGATATCTCATGAACCAATAGAACAAATGAGCATGCTCATACCACGGTTGTACTTTATGTCATCGTGTAATTTCTGTCTATCTATGGAGGGTATATTCAGCACATCAGTCTAATTTCTCCTTTTGTGTTTCCATCATTCAAGCCTCCCATGCTTACCCATAGGCTCCATAGCGTGCAATAATGCATGAATACACATTGATTTGATCGGAATTACATCATATATGTGTTCATGGCAACGAAATGCCAAGCATTATCACATATCCAGCCTGTGTCATTTAGAATTATTATATAAACAAACTGTTAAACCTCATTCATGAGAATCAGAAACAATTGAACTAAATTTGCACTCGAGATACGAGATATATGGTTACCGTGACAACTTTATCCACGGCTAGAGTACTGGTTGATTCTGGTCTGTCAGATTTCATAACAATCATACTCTTTAGAGCCAGCTCTTCAACCTAAAATATAGGAAACAAAAATGACCGAGAATATTCAGAATGATCGTCATGGTTTCTTTGATTTCACTTGTAAATAACAACAAACACAATATCATGATAATACTGGTAACCCCTCATTAACAGTTTCAGCACATTTTTATGTATTTTTTGGCAATTTTGATGGTAATTTTGGATCAAATGTAACTTTCCATTGCTGACAAGTGTTGATTGATATTTTTGAAAAAATTTAAAAAATTTATGCAGCTTGGATTTGTGAACGGCGACAGAAGTTGACTTTGAGTTTTAATTCTCATGCATCCATGTTGGAGAGCAGCCAATGGCAAGGACTGGATTACCATTAATCTCATGAATATGAAAGTGCTTGATTTATTTATATTTATTTATTCAATGAATGTCAACAAATAAATTACTAGTCAACTCTCACCTTTAACCTATTCAACTGTTCCTTCATCATTCCTTCCAAGTCATGGAGTGCTTTCTCTTCTTGTTTCAACTCCTGTAATTCAGCTAACAGCTGTCCACTGTTCGTCATGACAACAGTCTGAGAAAATGTAAATATATACGAAGACAAATTCTCTTAGCCATGGACCGTAATTATTTTGACTTGACCAATCCTACTGTAAATTACATTTTTTACAAAAATATTTTACAGAAATTTCACAAAATAAACAAATACACATGCACAACAGTGCATAAGAATCGTAAAAAAAAAAAACGATCTGTTTATATTGTTTGTAGTTTTCATCAAAATTAATGTTAAATCTTCACTCCACACCAAAAAGTCAAGAAGTTCAGAATTCTTTGATATTGTTCAAGAGTAGACGACACTCAACTTTCTAATATGCACAACCACGATCAATGACCAATTTTCCGCAATGCATTATGGGAGAGAACTTCCTATTGCTTATAATGAAAAACAACAAGCCATGCATGGCACAGTCCCCGTTAGTTATCAAATTTAAGATATATAGTTTTGTATGTGTGAAGTTTGATTGTGATTGGTCCAGGCATTTCTAAGATACGCACGCACACACGGAGGTCAAAACATAAGTCCTCGTTTTGGGACTGTGTCCGAATGGGGACTAATTATCACACTGCAAAAACTGACTGAATTAAACGCCGAGTTTTTTTAATCTCACTTTAGAGACATGAAATGTTGGATTCTTGTATCTCGAAAAATGACATGATTATTTTTTTTTTATTTTCAGTATCCACACAATCATGAAAGTATGACAAGACATATAATCGTCAATTCGACTTGAACTTCCTTAAACTCCACTTTGATCATAACATGTTATGATCAAATGTTTATACACTTATTGCAATTGGTCTCATTGTCAAGAGTGTTATCAGTTTTGCAAAGTTGACGACAAATCGTAGACTTGGTGTCGCCAAAATGCTCAACACCATCCACACTGTAAAGCTAGAAAAACGGGAGCTGTGACTAAACCGATAACACCAACAAATAGATCATATATTCAGTTGCAAGTCAACAAGTTTGAAGGCATCCTGCACCCGTTCTATTGTATGCAACAGACAGTAGGGAAATGAACATTACCAGTAGGCAAGAACACTGCGAAAAGTGCTAAACGTCAATAATAACAACTAGCAACATTGGTTGCAGAATAGAAATTGGTCGCTTACCTTTATTTCAATATTCAATGGCAAGCAGTGAAATACTATCAGAGTATTATCAACAATGACTCCACTTTAAAAGACTATCAATACCCGCCACAAAGATTCATGGATTTTAAAAGCTTGAGAAAATTATCCAGAATTGAGATTCACACAATCTCAAAAAAAAACAAAAACTTGTGTTGCCCTCAAGTCGGAAAATTGAAAAATTGGGTCAGTCGGTTGGTATTTTTTTTTATAGAAAAATACAGATCAACCCGAGGTTCAAAGTCGCCACTTATTCCCCCGGGACCCTGGGAATCAAACAATGGTCCGGGATCATTAATTTTTAGAGGAAACACTTTTTTACTGCTTAAAATGGTGAGTTTTTAATATTTGGGCCTAAAAAAAAAAAAAATTGTGACCCGATATTTCATATTTTTCGGCCGGTCGCTGAGGGCAACAAAACAAATTTTTTTTTGGCCATATGGTCTGTCAGTATTACAAAATTGATTGTGTCAATGCTCATAAATAAAATATTGAAGTAAGAATCCAATTACATTATATTAAGTATGTGAACAATATTTGTGCTGCAACGACTGTAAAAGTTTCTACAAACGCCATCCTACCCCTCGCTATTTCCATACCTGACGACTTCACAACAATATGCAACATGAAAATCAGACTAATACAGAACGGTACGAGTGTAATTAGTATTTTGCTGACTTACAAATAGCTTAGTTTGATTTCAAAACTTACCAAATAATGCCCAGACTGTACTGTAGGTGTTACAATTCTGGAGAGGCTCAAACTGGTACTGTAGAATACTTTATTTTCGCTGGAATTAATTTTCGCTGAAAAGGCTTTTTGGGCGTTTTGTATGGAATTTATTTTCACTGATTTTTGATGAGTTTAATGTGAAATATTAGAAAAAAAGCATATTCGCTGGATTTTATTTTCACGGAATCATCCCTCCAGCGAAAATAGCGAAAATAAATTCCAACCGAAAATAAAGTATTCTACAGTATTTGCTGGATTTTATTTTCACGGAATCATCCCTTCAGCGAAAATAGCGAAAATAAATTCCAAGCGAAAATAAAGTATTCTACAGTACTTTATTTTAGCTAGAATTAATTTTCGCTGAAAAGACATTTTGGGTGTTTTGTATGGAATTTATTTTCATTGATTTTTGACAAATTGAATGTAAAATATAGGAAAAAAGGTATATCCACTATAGCGAAAATTAATTCCAAGCAAAAATAAAGTATTTTACAGTATCTATTTGCACGTATTTTTATTTTTAAAAAATCAAAGAGAAAAATTCTTCTTTCTCAATTAACTTTTTGTTTTTAGAAACTGCGATTTTTTATCCTGGTCATATCAGAGGTTATTGTGACTTGAGTGACTGCAGTGCATCATGGAAACCAACAGTAATACACACGTGTACATGTACTATTGTATTAAAAACATTTAATAATTATACATTATGAATTTCACCTTCAAATAACATCACAAAATATTATGAAAAAATATACAATAATTCACAAACTGTACAAAAATCACCAAGTAAAATAAAATTTACATGGAAATTGTAACAATTTCCTTAAAAATAACACATTATGAAAAAATAGTTTAATTTTAAACAAAATTGCTGCAAATACACAAATAAATTAATTTTAAAAGTAGACTTCAGATGGAAATGGCTGCCGAGATCTCGTTGAAAGTTAGGGAATCAAGAGACTTGTTTTATTGTCTGAAATAGAGTTCCATTTTTTCCTAGTGAATGGTGAATACTTTTTAAGGGGCTAAAAACGTTTTGTGGCTCTTTCACTCTCAACAAGATTTCAGTTGCCATTTATATTTCACTTCTTTACTTTAAATTCCAATATTCACCACTGAGGGCGCTGCCATCAATTATGAATAAATACTACCTTGGCTACACTCAATGTTGCACAGCTCAAGCCATCAACAGAGGCACCACTCCCAGCATGCTAGCCAATATTTAAATAAACTTGCAAGAACATGAAGCACAACACGAGGGTTTGCTTATGTTACAGCGCCCTCAACATCAATCCGAGGGAAATGATAACTTTAGGAAATCAAGTTGATGCTCAATTATTCTTGAGGCGGTCATCCGGGCATTTTCTCAGAAAACTCTCAATGCTTTGGGATAATTGTTGAACAGTGTAACAAGATTACCCCTGCGTGTGTAACTCAGATTGTTGAGGATTACTTCAAAGTTGAGTTCCTATTGTTTTCTCGAATTTTCACCAGCTTTTCGCTCAGCGTTCTGCGTTCCTCAGCAGCGCGCACAGAGCCCATAGAAATACGTGGTACAGTGGTGCACGTCTTAGCAACGTGAAACGTCTTGGGACGTAGCTCGACCCCCGAGAATAAATACCACAGAAAAATTTACCCCAACTTTTTGCACTTCACCACAATTACCTTCCGCCCATAAGAAAATAGAGAAAAGAAAGAGAGAAAATAAATAAATAAATAAATATATATTAAAGAAGCATAATAACCCTTTGAATGCCGAAACAGTGTCGCAAGAAGTGAGCCGAAACAAAATTATCAGCTACTTAGTGTGTAACTGAATATGCGCAATACCATAAAATAATCAGATATATTTTGATTCACAAGACCGTACTTACTCTATTAGAAGCATATCTTCAAAAAAAGTTCACATGAAACAAAAATTGCGTTTGATGGATGCTGTTCCTTGGAGTGTCTTATTTCGACCATAGACTTGATGTTTCAGTGTCCCACCTATAAGATCATGCACTTCTAATAGAGCAAATATGGTAAACTACTTGTCCAGCCCATGCCATACGTTTACCATGACAAGCAAATGACACTTCACGTTTGAAAAAAAAATGTGCAATGACGTCCCAGAATATGACAAATAACCAACAATTCCATCCAATGATCTTAGTACACAAAAACTTATAAATCATAATTCAATTTAGCCATAACAAAATTTAAAAAAATACGTTTTCATCAATTTGCAATCTTTAATTAAAGCAACTATTTTTGTTCAAATTTCAATACACTGCACGTTAAATTTTTTTCCGTGTTCTATTATTTAAAAAAGAAAAAATAGTGAAAAAAAAAAACAATAAAAAAATATCTTAGTATACAAGTATCAGCACAACCCTCGTGTAATAATAATTGATGACATTATTGTGAGCGATTGAAAAATCTACAAATAACAGAGCGATTCGGTTTTAACGGTTGTGGTTGAATATGAATTTGCCTTTGAGCCATTCGACATTCTAAAGCCCTTTTATAAATTTTAGCCTTGAAAATGAGTCTCTTCT